GCGCTTCGAAATTTTTTTACCACATTTATCACTATTACTGTTACTGTTTTTCGGACATTACTGAAGCTATTATTACTTTTCTTACTTTACTATAATTACCTCATTTATTGCCACTCTCATTATTTTTATCACTATTGCCGATTTTCTTCGTTACCGTTTTTAACTTTTACCGACTTCCGCCAATCTTGTTATTACTGTTTTTCACTAACCTGGAATACTCACATTGATAACCCCAGCAGTTTTGGAATTTTTGGCACCATTCTCATTATTATTATTATCATTATTATTATTGTTATTGTTATTATTGTCATCACTATTGTTATTATTATTATTATTATTAGTATTGCTACTGTCATTATTACCAACACCGCATTCACAATTACAATGGTAATCGCAACCATGATCATAATCGTGATCACAAACATGATAGTAGCCCCAATCATGATCATGATCGTGATCTCAATCGCAGTCATAATCGTGGTCAGGATCATGATTATAATCGTAGTCACAATCATAGTCGCAACCACAGCCATGATCATAATCGTTGTCACAATCGAGATCATAATCACGACCGTAAACATAATCATAATCGTTAGCACGATCATAGTCATGACTATGATTCCGACCATGATAATGATCACGGTTACCATTACGATCATGATTGTGATCACGATTACGACCACGATCATGACTATGACTACGGTCATGATCATGATGATTACGACTATGATTATGACGATCGTGGACATGATTACGACGATTACGATTGTGACCGTGGTAACGACTGTGATTATGACGATTGCGATTACGATGATTGCAATCATGATTATGACGATTATGATTATCGTGACCATGACTACGGTTGTGATAATTATGGCCGTGATGGTTGTGATTATGATTATGGTTATGATGATCATGATCACAGTGATTGTAATTGTGGTAGTGATGATTATGACTGTGTTTATGATCACGGTTGCGATCACGATGGTTATGATTATGACGGTTATGGTGATTACGACTACCACGACTATCGTCGTGATTACGATCACGATGATCTCGATTATGACGATTGCGACTATGGTGGTCGTAATTATGATGGCCATGATCATGATTATGATGATTACGACTGTGGCTACGACTACTGCGACCATGGAACTGACGATCATGATTATCATGATCATGATGTTTACGACCATGATCGTGATTGCGGCGATTACGATTGCGAGTACGACCACGCGATTATGATTGCGATTACGACGATTGTGATTGGGATGACTATGATCACGATTACAGTGTTTACGATTGTGGTTAGGATCATGGCCATCATGATTACTAATACGATCATTATGATTGTGATGATCGTGATTACGATGATTACGACTACGGCTGACTACAATGATTGTGATTACAATTATGATTATGACCATGGTGGTTACGACCATGATCGTGGTGATCATGATTATGGTCACGGCTACGATTATGATGATTCTGATTGTGATTGTCACAGCCGTGATTGTGATTACGAATACGATTGCGGCTATAATCATGATTGTGACCACGGTTACAAAGACTGTGATTAATGTCATGACTGTGGTAACGATTGCGATCATGATCATGAACATGATTATGGTCATGATCACGATTCCAGTTACGACCACGATTACAATTATGATTACGGTTATGGTTACGGTCATAACCATGATCATGATCACGACTATCGCTATGATTGAGATTACGATCACGGTCATGACTGTGATTACGACCATTGTCACGATTACGATTATGATTGCGCTTACGATCATGATCACGATTACGACCGCGATCACGATTATAATTACGAGTACGACAGCGATTACGGCTGGTTACGACTACGATTATGACCACAATCACGATTATCATCACGACTACGGTTGTCATTACGACTACGACTGTGATTGCGATTACGATTTTGACTATGATTACGATTACGTTAATGGTTACGATCATAAGCACGATTACGATTGCGATTACGATCGTGACTATGTTTACGACCATGACTGCAAATGCGATTATAATTATGACTTCGATTATAGCTACGATTACGACCATGACCATGATTACGACTTTGATTATGATCACGGCTATGGTCGTGACTATGATTACGATCATGACCATGATCATAACTGCGATGATTAAGGTCACAGTCGTGATTACGATTACGATGGTTACGATTGTGGCGATTATGATTATGATCACGGCCACGATCATGGTTATGATCATGAACACGATAATTATGACCACGATGGCTACTACCATGACTATGCTGATCACAACCATTATCGCGACTATTGCGATCATGACCGTGATCACGATGATTATGATGGTCACGGTTATGACTGCGGTTGTGATGATGATTACGGTTATGATCATGATAGCGGTGGTTACGACTATGTTTATGATCGTGATTGTTATGGTTATGGCCAACTGATTGCGATGACTACGGTGCGATTATGATAATCATGATCGTGACTACGATTATGGTTATGGTAGTCGTGATTGGCATTACGATGATTATGATCGCCGTTATAGCTATGGTTATGATGATCACGATTACGATTACCGTGATTATGATCATGATCGTGATCATGACTGTGACCATGTTACGATTATGAACGACTACGACAATAAGGATCATAACTCCGATTGCGATTATGATCATGACTGTGACTACGATTATGACCACGGCTACGGCCATGATTACGATCACGATCACGATTATGGCTGCGATTGCGATTACGATCACGATTATGATCACGATTACAATTACGATCGTGACCACGACTGATTACGAACACAATTATGATTACGACTAGAATCATGATTTTGATCGTGACTACGACTATAATCATGACCAAGATTACGATTATGACCATGATCACGACTGCGATCATGATGATGATTACAGCTATGATCACGAAAACGATTACAATTGCGATCACGATTACGACTACGACAGTAACTGTGACGGTCACGATCACGATTAAGATAATGACTACAGTTGTGGTGGTCATGATTATCACGACCATGACTATGGTCATGATTATTACGACGATCATGACTATGATCATGATCATGGCTACCATCGCCATCATGGTTACAATTACGACGATCACGACCACAATTATGGTCACGATTATTATTATTATGATCCCAGCTATGGTCATGATGATGACTATGTGACGATTACGATTACGGTTATAATGATTATGACTGTAGCTACGACGACTGTGATTATCACGGCCATAGTGATCATGATCGCGATTGTGATTGTGATTGTGATGATCACGACTGTGACTGCGATTACGATGGTTATGATCACAATTTTTATGGTTACGAGTGTGATCGCGACCATGATTGTGGTGATTGCGATTATGATGATTAAGATTATGGTTATGATTGTGACTACGACGATTATGATCGTGGCTGCGATTACGACAGTTACAGTTACTGTTACAACGCTATGACGACTATGATTATGATGACTGCGGATATGGTTATGCTCATGACTATGATTATCACGATTACGGCAATGGTCATGACTATGATTCTGACCATTGTGATTATGACTGTGGATGCGATTGTGATTATGAGTACGGTTATGACGGTCAAGATGATGATTACGATTATTATTATAATTATAGAGATCGTGATTATTGTGGCTATGATTATGATTGATTGCAATGGCTACGATTGTGATTGCGATTATGAAGATTGTGATTATGATGCTTATGACTGTGATTGCAACCATGACGGTTACGATCATGATTACGATGATAACGATTATGATGATTGCCACTATGGCGACCATCACTATGATGACTGCGATTACGATAACCGCGACTATGATTGACTACGATGCTTGCGATTATGGCCATGACGATTATGACTACGACTATCATGACCGTGATTATGGTCATGATCATGATTATGACGATTGTGATAGTGATTGCGATCATTATGATTGTGACTACGATCATGATAACGATGATTATGATCATGGTGATTACGATTGTGATTTCGATTACGAATGTGACTACGGTTTTGGTTACGATTACGACGTTGATTATGGTCGCGATCATGATCATGGCTGATTACGACTGTGGTTATGATCACCATTATGATCATGACTACGATTACGGCTATCATCACAGTTGAGACTACGATCATAATCACGATTGACTACGACTATAGTCATGATTATGACTACTGTGATCATGATTGTAATGATCACGATTATGGTTGATTATGATTATGGTTACGATTATGATCATGACGACCAAGATTATAACGGTTATGACTGACACGATCGTGATTATGGCTATGATGATTAGTGATTATGACTATGACGGTCATGGTCACAACGATTGTGATTATGATGACCGTGATTATGATCATGATGATTACGACCATGATTGCGATGCTTATGACTACGATTATGATGGTTATGTTTGTGACTGCGGTTATGATGACGACTACGGGCATGATCATGATAATGATTATGATTATGTTCATGATCATGATCATAACGATTACGACTGATTAACTGCGATGACTACGACTGTGATTGCAGTTGTAATTATGATTATGATCACGATCACGATCATAATTGTGATTGTGACTAAGATGGTTATAATTGCTGTTACGACTATGATAACGATGACAACGATCATGATTGTGATTACGATTACGATGATCATGATTATGGTCATGATCACGATTGTGATAGTGACTACGATTAGGACCACAACTATGATCATGACTATCATAATGATTATGACCACGACAATGATTAGGATGGTGATTCTGATTGCGGTTATGGTCATGACTGTGATTACGGCTATGATTATGATTAAGACTATGATTATGGTCACGACCATGATTGCGATTATAACCGTGGTTATGACTACAATCATGATAATGAATAAGATTACAATTACGATCATGATTATGATTCCGGCAGTGACTATCATGGTTACGACTGTGATTATGGTCATGATTACGATGATTACGGTATGATCATGATCATGACTACGATCATCATCATGATTACGATAACGATTATGATTATGACGATTATGACTACGGCCATGATAATTATGGTTATCCTAAATATGGTGATCATGACTGTGATTGCGACTATAATGACTACGACTGTGACTACGATTATGATGGCTGTGATCATGATTACGATGATTGATTGTGATTACGATCGTGATTATGATGGCCACGATTATGACGATTAAGACTGTGATTATGATTATGGTGATTATGATCATTACCACGATTATGGTGTTATTATGGTCATGACTACGACCATGGTGATTATGACCGTGATTACGATAACCATGATTACGATTACGATGATCACGACTATTACAATTACGATTATGGCGATCGCGATTATGATCATGATGATTATGACTATCATGGCCACTATGGTTATGATGACTATGATTACGACGAGACTATGATTATGACTACGGCGATTAAGATAATGGTTATGGCTATGATTATGATGGTTATGCCTACGACGATGATGATTACGACTATGGTTGTGACTGCGATTATGCTTATAATTACGGTTATGATTATGACGATTACGGTTATGATGATTGTGATTATGATGATAATAACCATGATCATGATTGACTGCAACGACTACGATTGTGAATACGATTATGATGATTATAATCATGCTTATGATTGTGATTACGACCGTGACAGTTACGACTATGATTACGATGATTATGGTGATTATGATCATGATTATGGTTACGATTATGACGATTGCGATTATGATTACGATTACGATGATTATGGTTACGATGACCACGACCGCGACGATTTTGACACTGATGATTATGACCACGATTACGCCCACGACGATTATGACTACGACTATCACGACCATGATTATGATCACGATTACGATTATGATGATTGTGATAGTGATTATAATCACTATGACTGCGGTTACGATCGTGATTACGATGATTATTATCATGATAATTATGGTTATGATGACGATTATGGATAAGATCAAGGTTGCGATTACGACTATGATTTTGATAATGATTACGATTATGATTACGGTCATGACCATGATCACGATTACGATTCCGATTATGATCATGACTGACTACGATCATGATTATGACTATAACCATGATTGTGATTACGATAATCATCATGATTGAGATCACGATCGTGATCATGATTATGATTACGATTACGACCATGATCATTACCACGATTACGATCACGATTAATTGCGATTACGATCATGGTTATGATTGCGATTTTGGTCATAATAATGACTACGATCACGATGATTATGATTGCGGTTATAATTATCATGATTGCGATTATGATCATGTTGATCATGATTATGATGATTATGACTGTCATGATCGTGATTATGATGATTATGATTACGATCATGATGAATGTGATTATGGTAACTATGACTATGATGATTACGATGACTATGATTATGATGATTACGATTATGATGCTTATGACTATGATTACGATGATTGTGGTTGTGACTGCGATTATGATGATTATGATTACAGTTACGACTATGATGATCACGATTACATCTATGGTTATGACCATAACGATTATGATTGATTACGATGATTACGATTGTGATCACGATTGATTACGATTATGATGATCATGATTATAATTACGATTATGATAATTGTGATTGTGATGATTATGATTCCGATTACGACTACGATGATTATGATTGTGATGATTATGGTTACGACTATGATTATGACTACGAATATGGTTAGGATCATGATTCTGATCGCGATTATGAACATGATTATGATTACGATGATTATGATCATGATGATCACGATAATCATTATGATCATGGCCATGATTGTGATAACGATTACGATAACGATAATGATTACGATTATGATTATGACTACGAGTGTGATTGGGATCATGATTATGATTACGATTGTGATTATGACTAAGACTATGATCATGATGATCATGATTATTATCGTTATGATGATTACGATTATAATGATTATGATTATGACCATGATGAATATGATTATCATTATTACGATTATGATGAGCATGATCATCATGATTACGACTACGATTATGGTTATTATTATGATGACTATGATTACGGTGATTATGATTACGATTATGATTATGATCACGATTATGGTGATTATGATTGACTATGACGATTATGATCATGATGATTATGATTAACTATGATGGTTACGATTATGATGATCATGACTTTGATGATCATGATTATGATGACTGCGATTATGATGATTATGATGATTGTGATTAATATTGTCATCATTATTATTATCACTATTATTTTCATTAACATTATTATTATCATTACTACCACCATCATCATCATTATCATTATTATCATCATCATCATAATTGTTATTATTATTATCATTATCATTATTATTATTATTATTATTATTATTATTATTATTATTATTAT